TTCCAGTGATTTTGCTAGTGGTGGAAGCCGAGAAGAAGAGCAGACTTTAAATCAGTTGCTGGTTGAGATGGATGGCATCGATAGTGGCCGCGGTATCGTGCTGCTAGGCTCAACAAACCGTGGAGATATCTTAGACAAAGTTTGTCTTTGCCCATCTAACTTATGCAATTTGACGTACATATCGAGTGCAGAAGAGTGTAGGGCTGCAAAGTATATGTTCTGTTTATGATTATTTGCAAAAAAGTCTAAAATTTCCTGCATATTTCTCTTTTTGTGTGAGCCAAGGACACTTGGAAGTGTTTTGAGTAGTAGCTCCTTCCCAACAGCACTCGCAGTGGTTCATGCATCTGAGTATTTTTAATAGAAGAGTTGAAGGCGTTTCAGCTAGTGTCCCACTACCAACTTATCATCGTAAGAAGATGCAGCGCTTCGTATTGATTGATTTTTCTGGTTAAGGAACTGTGGGCAGCGCTCCGGCTTGAGATTAAACAACAGTGCCTCCTGTCAGCACCTATTTTTTATCAGACTGCAGTAGTCCTCCTTTCTGATCTGTTCCAGAATCGTCGTGCGAGATTGTTCGGTATTTTATGAGGAGCTTTGATGTGGCGATGGTTTTCAGGCTCTTCTTCGCCCTGGCCGCTTTGATCGACATATTATTATTGATCTGCCAACTGCTTTGGAAAGACAAGAAATGTTTGAAATATATTTGAGTAAAATCAAGCTCGATCGTCATCCGCAGTATTACTCGAAGCGACTGGCACAAATGACACCACGCTTCTCAGGTTTGACATTTAATTGTGCCCGACTGAAGCGTTTAACTTTTAATCACTGGATATTAGCTATCCGGATCCTGACTGCTTTTCTGAAATAAATCTTCATGTTGATGTTCGTTTACACCGCAACCCTGTTCTTTTTTTAAATGTTGTACGTTGTAAAAGAGATTTTTCAGGTGCAGATATCGCAAATATCGTGAATGAAGCGGCTATACGAGCAGCTTCATTAAAAAGAAAGCAAGTTACGGTAGACGATCTCGACGCGTCTCTACAAAGAGTTCTAGCAGGTTGCTCAAATTTTTTTTTTCTGCATATTTGTCTTTTTAACAAGTTTTATTCCGAACAAAGTGGAAGCAAACGTTTCTCACAGCAGAAAATGCGAGTAATTTGTTCATTTATTGACGTTTTGCAATGCAGTTTATTGTTTGTCTGGAAACTGCTGCATATTTTTCTTATGAATTTCT